CCGCGGGACGGGTCAAAGAAAAATCAGTGCTTTTGAATTGTGCTAGTGAAGAATATTGAAAGCACCATGGACTGTACAAGAACAAACAAATGTGCCGTGGGAGAAGTACGGCCAGAGGGCTCCATAGAAGCAAGGATGACAAGACTTCATTTTACATACTTTGGACATGTTGGCAAGAGAGACCATCTAATCCCTAGAGAAGGTAAAGTAGAGGGGCAGTGAAAAAGAGGGGAAGGCCCTCAAGGAGATGGATTTACATAGTGGCTGCAGCGATGAGCTCAAACATAACCATTGTGAGGATGGCACGGGACTGGGCAGTGTTTCCCTCTGTTATACACAGGGTGGCTATGAGTTGGAGCCCACTCAATGGCACCTAACACCAGAGTTGGAACTGACCAGATCTGGTCATCTTCATCAAGAACATGCCCAGGCTGGTCTCTAAGGGAGACTGCCCTCCCTGGTGTGGCTGAAGATGGGTAGAGGTAATCCACTTTCCAGTGCACTCTGTTTGAGGTCAGTTATCTATGTCTTTGGTGAATGATCAGAAGGAATTCCATGGAGGATCCATGTGGGGCTCTACAAATAGATTCTGGATTTTCACTTCTCAACTATAGCCTTCGGCAAACCAGGTACTCAGAATGTAAATCACCTCCCAATTCAAATCTCTGCAAATCCTAAAATGCCATTGTGAACTTGTGCTGATGCTCTCCCTCATCTGGATGATATATCTTTGTCTTTATCTGTTTTTCCCCCCACCCCTGTTTAAGACTTAGTAAATGTCCTCCTTAAATTTTATGTGAGATTTGGGGGTCTCCTTTGTGCCTTAAAATAGCCCTGGCTTTGCTGGTGTTCCTGACACTTTCTTGCATTCCTTGGTCTGATTTAAATTCTCTAAGATATTCTTTTCCAAAGTTTTGCTGGTTCTGCCTGCAGTGCATATGGGCCACCCTCAAAACAGCTTCCATTTAAATTTACATTTCTAGAAGTGCTTCAATCTCTCATCCTGGCCCTAGAGTCTGTGCAAGTGTTTCTCCTCTCATCTCACTACCTCCAGTCCATGGGAGTGGGTTACACTTTGGGCTGCTAACCACGAGGTCAGCAATTCAAACCCACCTGCCACTTCGAGGGAGAAAGATGAGACTTTTGGCTGAAAGATGAGACTTTTTGCTCGCATTGAGAGTTGCAGCCTCAGAAACACACAAGCACAGTTTTAATCTGTCCATGATCAGTGGGCTGTGGTTACTGGTTCCAAGTGTCACTTCCTGGAGAAGCCTTCCTTCCTCAATTTAGACTAGACTCTTTACTTGCTCTCCTTGACTTACTTCCCTCTTTCTTTAGTATTAGAGCTTAAAGGCTGAGCACCATGGTTTGCAAAAGGCTATGGACAACGTTGGCTTTTAGTATTTTGGTTTTTTAAAACATTTTATTAGGGGCTCATACAACTGTTATCCCAATCCATACACACATCAATTGTGTAAAGTGCATTTGTACTTCATTCTCAAAACATTTTCTCTCCATTTAAACCCCCAACATTAGGTCCTCAGTTTTCCCTTCCCTCCCTGCTCCGCCCTCCCTCATGAGCCCTTGATAGTTTATAAATTGGTATTTTGTCATATCTTGCCCTGTCCGACGTCTC